ACGGAACTGTTGTTGGGATCCGATTGTCTGACCGCTTGCTGTGGCTGTGGTTTCGATGGTATGAATGAATGAAATTGTAATTCATTTTGGGCTGAATTCACGTCATTTGCGGACAATCTGTTGTCAGCAGTGGTCGTGTCCTCTATTACAAGAATCGCCGATTCATTCATCGATGAGTCCATCGCTTGTCGAGCATCCAAATTGTCTTCTCCTCCTCTTTGGTCACCACTTCTTCGTCGGTTAGCAATGGATTCAAACGTTTCCTACAATTGATTGCAATTATAATTGAAGACAACTTTCAGTGATTTGTCATTAAAAATGTGTTTATTTACTACACATTCACTGAATAGAGGTCTCAATGCATTCAATGCAAACTCCGATAGAGATGTCGACCATTCATATCACAACTTTGAACCAAACAATTGAATGCAATTTAAATGACAAGTTATATAGAAATTAAATTTTTTAATTAACAAAATAGTAATTTTCAATCCATATTTGAACACAACGTGTGGTTTTAAATACTCTATAATTATTAATAATTATATAATCAAATTATTTATAAATTTAAACAAAAAAGTAATAGAGAAAAGTCGGATAAATTGAACAATTATTGTCATTAATACTATTATCTCATCTAATTTTTGGCACATTTTTCTAAATACATTGACAATAATTATACCAATATTTAACGTAAATCACAATTAGTTTAATTCAAATTCACTTTTGATTAATAATAAAACAAAAACACTATTAAACTGACTGTTTATCGCGAGTCTTAAATAATGATAAATTTAGTTAACTTAAGATCTAAGATCTTTAGCTCAAAATAAAATGTTATAAAAACTAATCGTAAGTATCAAATGAAGACATTATGGTTCGCTTCCAATGATATGTCCAATGAGTTCGAGTAAAAGAGATCCAAAAATAAGTGCTATAATAATGTGTGGATTAAAGAGACGATTGTTTGCTTTGTTGCTTAAGAGTGAAGATTCGTTGCATCACGTAATTCGGCGGCTGAACGCCCGCCGGCTTTAGTGGCGCTGAAGGTCTGTCCACTGGTATTACTGGCCATTCAATAGTTTCCACTTCTTCTTGAGTTGCGGTCGCCGTCACTATTTGGCGCGCTTTTTGGGATCCATTCGTGCCATTCATCACATTTCGATCGCTTCTCAAACGGCTTTCATGAATCAGTTTCTCTTCTTTCAATTGTTGCATTAATTTGAGTCTTTGTCCCAAAAAGCGTTTGTGTCCACTCATGTGTCCACTCATGCCATTCACAACACTCGACACCATATCATCCGAGAGATCGCTCTTTCGGATCTCCAACGAAGAGTCATCCGATTCGATGATAACCGAGTCGTCCGATTGCTCTTTCATATCAATAGCTATTTCAACAGAACTGATGGAATCGATTGAGTTGTCAGAAACTGTGGACTTATTGTCATCGGATCCGCAAGAATTGCGGGCAACAGAGCAGTGATCGGTTGTGACAACGAATGAGTTGTTGGCAGACCTCACAAATGGCATTGTTTTAGGCTTTCGTACAGTCGTGTTGTCAATGAACTCTTCGCCCGATCCTTGTTTGCGCAGAAACGCCGCCAAATCTGTTCCGTCAGACAAAGCAATGTCACCGCAAAGACACTTCTTCTCAGACTCTTCTTTAATGGCTATATTCGTCGAAACGATACAATCGTTTTGTTTGAATAGTCGTGTAATCAATTTGATTAACTTGTCGTCGTCTTCGGCGCCATTTGTCGGATCAAATCCACGCAAACGGAAGTCAAACGCTTGAAATACGGCAAAATCCTGGCCATAGTGTGGCCTCAAGTGTCGGATCGACGACCGCTTCACACATCTGTCGAGACCGCAGTCCAAGAGGTGGACGTCGTATAGGTATGAGCCGACACTCATGAAGACGTTGCGGACGACCGCCCGATACCATCGTTTGGGACCCGATGTCTGATTGTGGCCGAGAGTCACGTAAACGGCCACAAGTGATCCCACGTCCAGGTCTTCGGCCGAGTCCTGAGCCAATTGGTTGTACTTCTCCTGCATTACTTCCTCCAGTTTGTCGTACTTCGCGGCCGCAGTCGTGTCCACCTCTCGGACCAAATAGTGGGCCAACGACTTGACGGACAGTATCTTGAGCTTCATGTGTGCGGATGTGTTGACACAGTGTTGTGTTGTTGTCATTCAAACGGTTGTGTGCTTTGCGCTCACCCTTTGGTGCCTTTTGTGTTGACGACAACCCATAGAGTGCTGTAGTCTATAGTCTATACAAACGGTCCGTTCTTTGCATTTGCTGTACAAATGGTTCACACGTTTTGCGTTCAATACATTTGGCGCTCACTTTGAAACGCGCTTTAATTGAAACACTTTTACGATGTGTTTAATGATGTTTTACCGTAAGTTTGTTCATATCGTATACCAATGTATTGAATATATTATTCATGTGAATCATAAACCTGTTGCCTTCGGACATGTGGTCAGACTACCAGTGTCTTTGGGTAATGCTTGGGTCGGGCGCTGCGCGGCTAACGGCGGGTATTTATGTCCACACGTTTAGACACACAAAACAATTACACTTTATTGGGGCGTAAAACACATAACTGAATACAATTGCATATATGGCGATATGCATGTGAGCCGTAAATATAAAGTTACATTACAATTGGTCATGTTGATTATAGTTACAATTAAAAATATATGTAATTAGATATATAGGTATTTGTTGTAATAGCGCTATTAATTGGTATATTGTGTATGCATTTGTATTGTAAGCTATAAATATAATTATAAAAATATAGTAATTATAATGTTAAATATAAGATAATCAAAGGATATGCTTAAACCGCATCAAACTATTGAAATATAATCCCAATTAATGATTATTTTACGAATTTTGAAAAACGGCTTAAATATTGACACAAACTTATGATTCAGATTCCGGACCTAATGTTGTCATTCATTGATTGAATATAGTTTTGAATTTAATTTTATACATATTTAAAACGTGTTCATTGGAAACCAGTTGTTGTTGAATAGATTTCGTGTATAAATAATAATAACTTCAATTCAATTGTTATTTTTTTAAGTAAAACATTTAATTTGATTTTTATACAAGTTTGTAAACTTGCGCATTTACTTACACTATAATATAGCGTAATCATTAAATATATTATAATAATTTAATTTATGATGATGAATAAAATATTAATTAAATTAATTTTTAGTCTTAAAATCTAAGGCAGTAATCTTGGTATTGTAATGCTTCTCATAATTAAGGAGTTGTTTGTATTCATGTGTTGTTACGGTATTAATGACTACATACTGAGGACATGTTTCACTCTTGGATCCAACCCTAGAATAATCATTATTTAATAACATTTAAAATATAATAATAATTTTATTACAAATAATAATTTAATATACTTTTTAATGTAAGCCTCACGACCGGGTAAATCGTAATTAACGTATTGTTTAATATTCATTAAGTTATCGATGGCTCTCGCAGTAACGAAAGCTTCAAATTTGATTTCATTTAAATTCATTTTATTAACAATTTTCTGCCGTTGTTTTGAATTTTTCCCGATCTATGCATACAATTGATTATGAATTAGAAATGTATTTTATTAATCAAGTATTGTTTGTAATATAAAAAATACCAGATTTTCCACTTTAACTCCTTTGTCGAGCAGAACTTGTGTCACATTTTCGACGATATCCAATGATTTGCAATATATAACACATTTGGTTAACTTTCGGCAATGAAATAATCGACAAATTATTTCATTTTTCTCATTCGATGTCTCGGCCATAACGAAGAACTGTTTGGCGCTATTCAACACATAAGTATCCATTAGTTTCGGTGTCTTTACCGGTGATTTCACTGCTGATGAAGAGGTGCCCGAAATGCTAGAGATGTTGGCGTGTGTTGTGTCGTCCAACTGTTCAATCATTTAGTAGTTCATAAGAGCGTTATAAATAATTTATAGTTATATAAGGTATACATACACCTGAATCCCGGCGTCCGTCCGTTCGGTTCAATGTCTGGCCAACGGCTCCAACAGAAGTCAAGTCATTAACTGTACTTAAAGCCAAACCAATAGATCTGAAATTCAATTATTATTGCCATCAGTTATCGCATTTCATTTTAGAGTTACTGCAAACCCATTGGCTTTTAGTTGACGATATTTTTCAATTTCATTCAATTGTCTTTCAATTTCTTGGATCTCTTTTTTATGAGACTTAAGTTCTCTCTTAAGATATTTCTCAAAATTATCAATCAATTCATTGCATACGGAATCCATAATAGGTATTAAATTGGGATTTTTTACACACTTTAAGACCAGACAACGTGGTGATAAACGTGTTAATAAGGAAATTAAAAGCCATTACAAAGATTAATAAAAAAATGAATCAATACTTTATTTTAAACTTTAAATTTTTATAAGAATTTTTTAATCTCTTACTAGTAACTTTGAATAAATGTTAATTTAAAAATAAATTATAAATACCATACAGTAATAAATTAAAGTGTGAAATGGTGATTTTTAATCAAATAATTTTGAAAAATCAAATTATTCATATTTCATAAAAACTACAACTCTGTCAATTATAAAAATATGTAATTAAATATATTAAAAGTAGAATCTATTATAATATAGATATTATTTATAGATAGTTAATATACATGTATTTATAAATAATATTATTTAGATTTGCAGAAATTATAAATATTATTTTCTATAGAGTATAGATTTGTTTTAATAAATCCAATTTAAAAACAAAGTTATGAAAACTATTTTTGTCAACATTTCTTATTATTAAATTAACGACATTAACACAATATTACTGGAATTATTTAAGTATAAAATTGAAATAACAATTTAAAAACTATTAGATGAAATAACATAAATTTTATTTTTACCATGTATTGTGGATTTGTGGTAAACAAAAACATAAGAATGGATTACATTAGATTTAGATACATTTTATTTAAAAAACTGGTAAATTCCATCTAGGCTTATACGGTAGCTATTAATAATAATACAACATAATAAAACATACAGTACAGTAGAAAGTATAGAAATTGAATAGTTTAAAAAACTAATATTGAATTCATTAGAAAATAAAACTTATAAAATAAATGCACACTAAAAACGATGATAGGATGCGAAAGCCTCGCGAAAACTAGCATAATATCAAAGTTTTAGTGAAACAATATTACGCCAATTTTTACGATGCCATACATCCAGAGCTTTCTCTTTACTATGCGATCGGTTTTGTTGTCAATTGTTTAGTCTGAGAGCTGGAGAATAACTGTCAAAACTTACTATTTGTGCCACAATTTAAGTGCCAAACTATATACAGAGCAGATGGGCTCGCGTACAGAGTTCACCGGTTTTGTCGCTAAAACTTATCACACAATTAAAGCAAACATTGATTCAATGCAACCAATTATTTACAAGAGTTGTGATGAATATTAAATACAGTCACACATTATGCTGTGATATATTGTGTCAAATCATATAACTTATGATCATTTGTTACTTATATACATGATAACTTATGACCTTTTAACAACATTAATTTAAAATTCATTTTCTTGATATCCATTTGGGAATAAAATCTTATTTTTCTCAACATTTCTCAAAAATATTTCTTACTTTTTAATGGAGAAAACGATTTGATCGTTGAATACAAAATCAAGTATAGTATACATAGCGCACACCTGGACTCTTATTAGTTAATTTAAATACTATATTCAAAGTTTACTTAACACTTGAAAATATATTATAATAAAAGATGTGTCGTTTAATTATATAACAAAATATTGGCGTTTAGGTCCAGAATTGAATACATTTAACGCTAAACAATGCTGGAGACAGAGCTTAAGGCCCCGGCATATGGCATACATTGTTAAGTCTTATCGTATTAATGGCTTAATGGATAGAATTTTCTTATCAGACAATATGTTGTTTTTTATTATACTTATTATAAACTAACCTATCGTTAAACTCTATGCATATTTTTTGACAAAAAAATATTTACTTTTTCTGGTGAAATATATTTCTGCGAACAATTCTATTGCAATTATGTTTGTAATAAAATACAAGAAACTTGTAAATTCTTGATGTGCTACTTTAAAATAATATTAAATTTTTAGTAATTTATTTAATTTTGTAATTATAAACTAATACCTTTTGGACATTTTATTAATATATTTTATTAAAATTATTTTACACAATTTTCTTAATTAAATTTATGTTTAGATCAATGATTTATTTAAGTGATTATAATTTAATTTAAGAATTTTGTGGTTTGTCATTTTTAAAACAAACTTTAAATATTTTCAGTTGCTATAGATATTCAGATTGATATTACAAATAAAGTACTATAAATTATGAACAATTTAATAAAACAGATAAAATTTTTACACAAAAAAATTATTTAATTGATTTACTATAAATTTTAGCACATAATGTAAAAATAATTTCCAATAATTATTTAATAACTTAAAATTCAAGGCACTATAAAGAGTTAAATATATGTTATAAAATATGAGATTAATCACAATTAAACCTCCACCATCGAAACTAATGATCACTTGGTGTTTGTTCCGCCAATTATATGAAATTTAAGCGACAAATGTTTAACTAATGACAGAATATGTAAACAGAATATCTTTAATATGAATGAGTTGTCAACACTTTTTGGAATTAAAGCCAAAACTAGTATTTACTTTAAATATAATTAGATTCTTAAGCTTAACAATGATATAAACAAAGTATTAACAAATTTAATATTATTTAAAACTTTATAATAATAATAAACACATTATTACTTCTCTTGAAATATTGCAATAACCCTCACAAATACAGAAGTATGTGATTTGGTAATGATCTGCTCATTCAATATCATTTAAAGGCAAACATTTTAATTTTGATATAAAAGTAATTGAAATTTGTTTTTTAGTTTGTTTTTGTGTAATAATATGATTTTAAAATCTCTAATTTTTTATGGGCAAAACTTCTACTAATTAATTATTTAAAGGCAAACATTTTAATTTTGATATAAAAGTAATTGAAATTTTGTTTTTTAGTTTGTTTTTGTGTAATAATATGATTTTAAAATCTCTAATTTTTTATGGGCAAAATCTTCTACTAATTAATTTTAATTTAAAACAATTCAAAGATTTAATGGTAATAAACATAAGCATTTGAACATTGATTTTATTGAATTAAATATTTGAAGGCATCGCTTGAATTGATATAAGTTTAGCCTTATTTCTCTTCAGCCCAAGCGTTTTCTTTCTTGAGTCGCGACACTTCTTCTTCAGGCAAATCGCATTCAATTCCCCACAACTCCTGGACCTCATCAGCGGTTTTGCCTCTGATCTCATTGGCGGCTGTTTTGCAGCCGAGATCTAACAGACCTTTGATGTCGAGATAGTTTGCGGCCAAAAGCAGTTCGAAGAGTGTCTCGCGATTCATGCCTTTCATGAAGTTCTGATCCCAAACGCAAATGTCGTCACTCTTCTCGGCGTCGCCGTTGTCCTCGTCGTCCGAATCGATCTCTTCGACGGGATCTTCGATGTGATAATTGAGATATTCGAGCACTTTGTCCAGGATTTTGGCCGAAACTGTGGGCAACGGCACGGGTTTGGAGCAGTTGGTCGTGTTCTCAATCAAACTCTTCACTGTAATGGACTTCTTCGCCACATCCAGTCTCACTGTTCGCGCCTCTCCATCGTTGGGCAGAATCTGCTAGAGGAAGTGGTAGCCAAGTGATGAAGACCAGTGAAGACCGTAGTTAAAACTCAAGTAAAAATTACTTAAACTTAAAACCTATAAACTTTTAAACTTACAAAATAAATTGATTGCTATTCGCGCAAAATGGATTTAAATAATTAAAAATTAAAACTTCACCTAGTTAACTATATATATTTGTTGCTAACAATAATTGACAAACAATTAGCGCAAGAGTTAACTGCAATTAATTGTTGTAATCCTTTATATTTAGAATTGATTTTCAAACTCTCAACTGAATTGTAAAGCATTTGAATTTGTATTTGGATTCAAACAAAACAACACATATTTTGTATTCGTTTGAAAGGATTTCTGTTTATTTGTAAAATGAATTCATCGGTAAAGAAGTCAAACAGCGATTGGCAACAAATGAGACAACAGATTGATATTCTGAAGCAAAGTTTGACCGCATTTCGGGAACAATTGGCCGAAGAATTGGTTGATATCGCGGATCAGAAGTTGAATCAATTCAAAGAGATTTTGTTCACTAAATTGAAAGCCAAAGAAACTGAGAAACAAATTCCGAAATGAGATATCGTTTAAAGAAATGTTTTATTTATTCAATATTTATTTGATTAGTAAAAATTACACTTAAATTCTGTATTAAATTAAATGGAAATAAAAATAGTATTTTATTATTTTTTGTTTGAAATCTTTTTAATTAAATAAATGTCTTAAAACAGTGATAATATTAATTTAATAATAAATAGTGATAAACAGGTATAGACTGTTGATAAGTAATTTGTGAATGAGTTGTTCAAAGTGGAGGAATGCTATCAAATATCTCATTGGAAGCGCTGAGAGGAGACTTTGGCAGCAACCATGTCGATCATACCAACAAATTAATGGTATTAAGTGTATCATTTTTGATGATGGTTTTCTTGGCCAGATTAACTTGCTCAGTTTTAGTAGTGTATCGGTTATAGCACTGAACGGTGTCTGGTTTGGCTAAGTTAATGATTTATTGATTTATGATTGATTTGATTTGTTATGTATTTAATAAATGAATGCTAACAATGTGTTAATACCTAGAAGTTATCAAGTTTTTATCAAATTGTAAAAATCATTAAATTATTTGTAAGGTTTCTCAAGTAATGTAAAATATATAAGTATTTTATAACTTTATTTGTAAATTAAAAACATGTTTAATAATTGATGCTTGCTCAAAACCGTTACAATTTATTTTGCATGTTTTTAATTCATAGAAAAAATAACGACAAAGCAAAAATGAGATGATCATCTTTTATTTAAATTAATCTTCTCAATTAATTAGCATAAAATATGTACCCAAATCACTATAAAATTCATGTTTATTGTCAATCAGATTTTAAGTGCAATGTTTTCGTGCAAAATGTACTAAAATATTAAAATTTAACAAACATTTGTTTTTACATATTTATGAAAATTGCAAAATTTTCTGAAATTTTAAGTACAAAAAAAACACTTGACATTGAAATCAATGAATTGTAGGCAACAGTAGTGCAGAATCAGCACAACATTTGAAGGATTGTCTTTATTATTACATTTAAATGAATTGCAATTTACATCTAAAATACAATAAATTCACAGAATTTTATGATAAGAAAATAAAACATGTTTACTATTAGCCCAACACGTGTTGGCACTATATATATAAAATTACCATCATGGTGATGGTTACCTGTAATGATAATTAATAACACGTTTTAAAACTTATGTTATAAACAGTTGTTTTCCAGATTCTGACGTAAAATCCAATTTTTAAAGTTTTGTTTAAATAATTAATTTAATAAAAAACTTGTTTTATAAATATATTTGTATTTAGTTAACAAATTAATTAATTAATTTCAATATTAAACGGAAGTATACCTAATATGTACTGTATAAAGTATATAATATGATACTTACATATGAAGTAATATTATATAAGATTATTAATCAATTACAGCAGTATTTGAAAAATAAATTCAAAGAATCTTGAATTAAAATGTATTAATTTATTGAATCAATATTTACTGAAATACAGTATACGGTATTATATTAAGCAATAGTTTTAAAATTATAATATTTATAAAAATAAACGTATACTTTGCATAAACACATAATTTTGGTTATATTTTGACATTTAAACAAAAATACAATATACATAATAGTTGTAATATTATAATATTATATATTATTAACAATGTAAATTAGCTATCGTCTAGGAGCACTTGTAGGAGCAAATAATATTTTAATATGCTTTGTAATTTATACCTGATTCATGGCATAATCATATATAGTGTACATTAATATGAGTGGTATTACATACAGATAACAAGGTAAATTATAAACCACGTCAATTTTGTTTAAAGCCCTTCAATTTTGTGATGAATCTTAATGTAAATAATCTTTTATTTGTTTACCGTTGTATAAATAGCTATTAAAAATGTAGGTGAAAACGACTAAAGTAGTTGCATAATGTTTACCGTTTTACAATGAAATATACTGTGCATATAATACTATTAACAGTAATACCATGGTCAATTTCTATATTTAGACCTAGTAATTAATATGTTGGGAAATTCCCAATGGAAATAAATACTTTATTTTGTATTATTTTATTTCAATTAATATTATTGTTATATTAATATACAGTGAAAATAGAGTAGAAGTATTTGTAAATTACCGTCATTTCAGAGTTATATAATATATTCATATAAAACATCATTAGTTTGAGCTTTACACTTTTAGAGTAAAATAAGCACTCGCTTTATTAGCACCCGTATAGCATTGGCTGTACTAATGAAATCGTTTTCATTAATATTTGTGTTAAATAAGTTTATTAATAACTAATGTATTCATTAATTTCTATTTTCATTAATATTATGGCCACTAATAACCCATTAAGAAATAATAGCAAAAAATCAACAGTAAATTCATATAAAATATGTAAAATATTTTAATAATAACCAATTATGATATCACTTGAACACATCCAATCACTTCTTGGATATCAAGTCTGACAACTATTTCAATCAATAACTTAATACTGTATTAAGACTCTGATGTCCGCTAATTGTTACCATTTGTTCATATGTTGTAAATATTTTATATCCAAAACTATGTATTTATGTCAATATAAATCAAAGCTAACCCTAAATCATGCGATAATTAATAAATCACTTAATTTATCGTAATTTAAAATTAGCGCCAATTGTTTAAACCAAATAATCAATGGTTTGTCCATAACTTACGCTTAAATAACATTAAATATATTTATAAACACATAACTAATAAACCAATCAATTTGACAGACAGTGAATACAACACACATTTAAACACAATTAGAAACAACACTAAAACCAATTGCAAAGCAAACTAAATAACAATTAAAACAAATGCAAACCCAAAGCGAATGCGAATGAAGTGAACGTTATTTATGCGTCGAAAGCAAAGGCGGGAATGAAAACAATGTTTCAGTGATTTGTGGCAAACGTTTTGATCGCGAAATCCAATTGTCTTTCTCTTCAGCGAAACCATCGATGGATTTGAATCAAAGCGGAGGTTATTTCGTGAGTCAGTTCGACCCCAACACAGGGGGCGGCGGACCGGGCGGTGGGGGCGGAGGCGGCGGTGGTTCGGGCGGCGCGAGCGGTGACCGCAAGAATCTGGTGTCGGTTTCGTTGTCACAAGTGATTCATTTGACCACAAAAGACGACGGTTTGGTTCTTCACCGCCAAAAGATCCACTCATTGGTGGCCATCGGACTCGTGGTCAACATCGAGGAGTTGACCACTAAAAACATTTACCGCATCGACGATCACACCAGAGGTGCGCCCATCGAAGTGCAGTACTGGAAGAATGAGGACATCGACGGTATGTATTGACACACATATGTGTGCTATCGTTGAACCGCTTGTGATGTGATGTCTGTTGTTGTCCGCCATTATAGCGTCAAACAGTCGATACGTGTGTCCGCCGCCAGTCATGGAGAAGACATACGTGCGAGTCATCGGTCAGTCCCGCTATGACGACAATAAGCCATTCATCGTCGCCTTCAGAGTGGAGCCAATCCTCGATCCGAATGAGATTTATCTGCATTTCCTGGAAGTGATCGCCGATTCAATTGTTCTCCAGAAACGCAAAATCCAAAGCCTTTCGCATTCGGGCGCTTCGGAAGCGATGGACACTCGAGCGGCGCACTCGACCCCCGGTCTGGGCGGCGGCGGAGGAGGCGGTGGTAATCATCTGCAGGGCTTCAGTAATGTGCAGAAGACAATCCTCAATATGATTAAACAGAGCGATGAGTCGAGTGCTGGCGTTCATCGTTCAGCGATCATTGGATCCATTCCTGGCGTCAGCTCTCACGAGATCTCGACAGCTATTAATTTTCTGGCAAATGAGGGCCACATCTTCAGTACCACCGATGAGGACACCTTCAAGTCGACAGATCAGCCATAACTTGATTTAACTCTTCAGTTCATTTTGTAATAAACGGTACAATTATTTTATGATTCAATACTAATTTTGTATAAAAATATCCGATTCTTTGAATTAAACGATTGTTTTCTCAATTATTTGTAAATTTTGTCATTAAAACAGTGTTTTATTTGAAAATTAGTAATTTGTACGGAAAAGTGATTTAGATTTGCATTTTGGTGCCAAACAACAGGTTATACTTAATTATAACACTTTTTGAATACATTATAAAACATTACATTAAATCAAATGCAAGGAAAACACGATTGCATTCATGAATACCAATGAGAATAAACAAGTTGCACACGGAGATACTCTACATTAACCACAATCAAATTTGTCAAATTTTCAATTCGATTGTTAGAATACTGTCAAAAACGCTATTTTGAGAATTTTAAATAATATTTGACTTAAAATGTTGAAATATTAAAATTGATATAAATATTGACAATTAGTTTCTCCATAAAATAGCATTATCTTATTTGAGTGGTTTGAATAACATTACTTTCATAGAATTAAGCTGTAATCCCATGTTAAGTCCAATAGAACGGGTGAGGACACCGAACTATTCTATAAGCCACGTTATTCTACACAGAATTGCGGTTAAAAATACAATTTATGTCTCAAATTCCCAAATAAAATGAATTATAGTTTTGAATTGAATAAATTTGTTGGTCATTAAAAGGCATAACTTTTGTCACTAAATTACATGTAAGAGAGAGAGAGAGAGAGCGATCAGTCGAGTGCCGGCGTTCATCGTTCAACGGTCATCG